CGGAGGTACCTGGCGTTTGCCTCGTTCTGCCGGTTACCTCCGCACCACCGGAGACTTGTCCCCTTCTCCCGGCTCTCAGCCGCCTTGGGTTGCAGTTGCCGGGTTTTTCATCTCACTTGATGATCCAGAGATAACGGGCCTTTAAAAAGGTCGATGTGCCTTGTCCTGGGCAGAGTCTTCTGGGTCGCTTTTTAAATGCGGGACAAGTTTAAAAGGAAAACAATAATTAGTTTATTCTAATAAATTTGCAAATAACAGGCTTACAAGTTGGGCAAAAAGCTACAAGTGAGGAGCATATAAAATTATGCCCGATGTAAAATATGTGTTCTGTGGTATCCTAAAGGTGTTTTATGTCTTTTGTTTTGGGGTTTTTTTTAGAATTGTATGCTTCCTTCACCAGAATTGGTGTACTCTCCTTCCATTAAATTGTGTCAGGGTGAGGCTTTGTTTTGTGGTTTTTTTGTTTTGTTTTGTTTTGTTTTTCCAGGTTGTGTGTTTATTGTGCTAACATCTAGGTATCCTTGTCAGGATAGAGGGCTTGTTCCAGTCAGCACACAAGGATTTGTTTTCATTATTCCACTAAATGTATGGGTGATACTGAAGTTCCTTCTCTACACAGTTTTTGAAAAACATTCTGATATTGGAAATTTTTTCAAACTATACAACTTAATGACTTTTGTTTTTGTTGTTAATAACTTGCTGAAGATGGATTTTGTGTCATGAGGGAAATGTTCTTTGTTAATAAGAGCAGATGGGGGCAGGGACTTGACACTGCGTTTTTTCAGCAAGTGAAACACACTCACTGAGGTATTCAGCCTACTGTCATAAAAATACTTTTAAAATTTACTTGAACAGCTCATGCAGTGTACTGTAAATATAATAAGCTTGCTTTTAGTCTGGGATACCAGAACAAGGACGCTGTCACGTTTCTGTCACCCCGGGTGGATCTGCAAGCAGGCCTGGCAGTCCCTGTTGCACCGGCGTGTACATGCAGGACGCTGCTCTCGCCCTGGTCAGTACAGATGAAGGGAGCTGGATCTGTGCTTGGCTATTTGCCATACAGCAGTTTGAGCTGATGGTGATCACTGTGTTTGTATGGGAAGGTGACATTCCCATACAAGCACATAGTAATCTAATTGTTGTTTTTGTTATGTATGAAATAATGATTCACATTATTATTATAAGTCTGATGTCCTCTTTAAGGTGTGTCCTTGTTCATGAGTAATTTTGTCAGTGGGGTTACTGAGAGTGCAAACTGCTACACGGAATGAGAAACAGAAGGAAAAGATGCCTGCTTGCATATTGACATAGCAACCAATTCTACTTTTTCACCGTGTGTTGCAAGCACACAGCTCAATAATCTGTTTTGATCCTAATTAGAGTATTTCCTTAGCATTGGAGAAAAGCTGTTTAATCCCACCAATGTTTATGTGCTTAGGAGTATTAACACATGCAGAGGGAGTACAGATCACCTTTTGATAAGGGGAAAATAATATTATTTCTTTGCAAAGGTTGATGGATTATTTTGTTTGTTTGTTTTAAATACAGTTCTGAGGGAAGCAATGAGACTGAAACTTCTGCACCTTCAGACCAGATCTTTCCACGCTTTAACAACAATATGCCAGTGCCAAAGCTTTAACAGAACTGGACCTTCTCTGTTAAAGTTGGATTGTGAAGTTGACAGAACAGCTCACAGAAGAGCAAAGTCTTGGAATTTGTATCCTCCGAAAACTGCTTCTCCTTGTTCCACAAGTCGATGTGTGCAAGTCAAGAATGGGCAGTTGCTCCAAGGAGATGTGTCAGCTTCTGGAAAAATTGTTTATTATCAGCATGGGGAGGGCTTTTTCCCGTTCTGGAAACGTTTTGGTGTGGCGATGATGGAAAGCTACAGGCTCAATACTGAGCGTGTTACAAAGCTGAGGAATGTATCATCAAGATTTTACTCGGTTGTATCGGCTGGTAAAATAATTCCAAAGCACGGTAACCAGCCGGTTAAGAGGCCACCAAAGGCACCAAGGACCAAGCAGCCATCCAGAACTAACCAGCCACTACTGTCAGATATGGAGGTAAAGTATAAAATTTGCAGTCTGCATAACATTAAGGGAATTTCGTAAATGTAATTTAGATTCAGATTTGGGTTTAGATTCACATTTTAATGAAATTAGCATGTTTATTTGGTGAGGAGGATTTCATTATTTACCCTAGTGTGGCCACAAAAAGGCTGGAACTCTGCAGACAGAAACAAGCTTGATAGAAACTGGTGTGTCTGGTGTTTTGAAGATAAAATGGAGACTTACTAGCAATAGGTAAACAAAAATGGAAGGAAGATAAGTAGTTATTAAAGTGGAAAGACTAAATCCATTAAAAATATTTTTAACTAGTGCTCTTAAATCACATTTAATATTGAGAAACAAATCTAGCTTTCAGAATAATTTAACTTTCCCTGGGTATCCTTGCTTGTCCAGTTCCATCCAGTTTTAAGGCTTCACTCAAACAGAAATCAAGATGAAAGTAAATAGTATAAAGTTTATACTCAGATAAGTTTCAGATGGGAAGTGGAGGTGCAGATGTAGCCTTTGTTACTTGAGGAAGGTTATTGCACATGTAGAAATAGCACCTTGATCTCCAGACTCCTAGGTCTACAGAGTAACTGCAGGAACAAACTGTTTTGGATAAAAGGAGCTGTGGTTAAGTGGAACAGTGCAGACTGGGCGCTGTTTCTCCTTAGGGTAGTTCCTTGCAAGCCTCAATACTAGCCAAGGCAGACTTTCAGCATCCTTGAATATATGATCTCCAAGGAAAATCCTGCTCTCAGAAATGTTACTGTTCTCCACAAGCTACAAAAACAACTGAGTTCCAGGGGACTGTTTACTGTTAATAAAATAGTATTATAGATGAGACTGAAAGAAGTGTTGTGTTTTCAGAAATAGCTTCCACATTGCAGTACGTCTGTTACACAATCTACTGAATGTGAGCACAGAAACTGAAGTTTTAATGCTTGCCTTCTTGTCATCTAAGCTTCTTCTTAAAATTTTGTATGATGAGCAGGAGTATGCTTTAATGTAGCATAAAGAATCCATTATAGACAATTTAGTTCTCACTTGTATTTTCTCATTGCTTTGAAAAAAAGGAAGTGAAGAATATTAGTCCTGGAAAACCATGTAATGTTTCAAGCCTGTTATTCATGCTATGACATTACCTGCAGAGGTTGCTTCTTTTTGTTGTTGAGTGAATTGAAGTGACAATTTTTTTTAGGTTCTTCAGGCTTTTAAATGGCAGCATAGAATGCAAACGGTTTCTCAGTTTGACATTTCCATATGTATGTATGTATGTGAGAATATGCACTGCTATTTTTACTTTCTTCCATTGTGAAGAAATGGAGAAAATCCTGCCTGACCTACTGAAATAATAATGTACTTTCTGAGGAAGCTTCCACATGGCAAAATGCTGTGGCAGAAATCACATAAACTTGGGTCTAACAAAAAGATTTGCTATTTTTGAGTGAACCCCACGTGGTTTTGTCAGGTGTATGGCCCTATCCACAGGGGTACCGACAGGCTGTCACCCTGACTGCAGGCTGACAGTATTTTGGAATAAGCATTTTTTTTACCTGTTTGTGTATTTCCTTATAGATGTGTAGTATAGAAAAAGAAAGATGTGTCTAATTGCTGCAAGATGACTAATAGCAGTAGAGCAAATGGAGAATCCATGAGGTTTTTTTCACCATGCCATTGGTTTTCCCTAAATCCTGTTGTCGTGACAAAGCTGATCTTGCTTTCCTGTGCAAGTGTGGAGGTCACCAAGAGCCCTCCAATGACACAGGCCCTTTTGCCAGGGCAGTACCTAGGGACAGGCTGCTGCATCTTCTCCTTCCTGGTCTGCCCTGGGAGACACTAGCTCTGAGCTCACTCCTGAGGTTCTGAGATGAACCTGGAGGATCTCTGGTGTTTTCTGTCTGGGAAGGCCTGACAGTTGACACCATTCTCTTGCAGAACAGTGGATGAATGAGGTCCTTCCCACCCCTCCCCAGCACCCCTCTTCACCTATTGTTTACAGGCAGAGTGCTGAACACCAGCAGTGATAGAGGGTTGTGAGACCAGTTTTTCTGGAGGAGTTACTTGAAAGCAGCTAACTGGTTTAGTCAGTCCATCAGTGAGTAGTACCACTACTCAGTGTAGTTAATCTCATAAGGTCTGATGGTATGAAAAGCCTCTGAGCTAATTTTTAATGCTATAGTCATGTAGTCTAGAAAGAGCTTGAAAATCAAGTAAAGATGTAGTATTTACTGTCCTGAAGATAAGGAATCATAGAATTGGGTTGGAAGGGACATCAAAGATCATCTAGTTCCAACCCCCTGCTGTGAGCAGGGACACCTTCCACTAGACCAGGTTGCTCAAAGCCTCATCCAGCCTGGCCTTGATCACTTCCAGGGAGGGGATAGCCACAGCTTGTCTGGGCAACCTGTGCCAGTGTCTGACCACCATCACAGGAAAGAATTTCTTCCCGCTGTCTGATCTAAATCTCCCCTTTTCCACTCAAAGCCATTGTCCCTTGTTCTATCACTACCTGCCCTTGTAAAAAGTCCCTCCCCAGCTTTCTTGTAGGCCCCCTTCAGGTATTGGAAGGCCACTATAAGATCTCCCCGGAGCCTTCTCTTCTTCAGGCTGAACAGCCCCAACTCTCTCAGTCTGTCCTCATAGGAGAGGTGCTCCAGCCCTCGGATCATCTTCATGGCCTCCTCTGGACTCACTCCAGTAGGACTGATTTCTATGGTTATGTGAGGATTTAAGTTCATCCTGTAGGTTTTCTTTCTTAAAAGTTGTTGTATGCTTAAAGTGGGAGGGGTGGGCTAAGGAGAGTTGTGATTCCATGAACCTGTGCAGTTGTTGGGGGTTTGATGATACGGAAAATGAGTTGTTGAGGTACTTAGGAGGTCTGCTCCTCAGGATAGCTGTTGTGGTGCTCTGAGTAGCATCTCAGTGAAGCCCCAGCGGTAGGGAGAAGCGTGGCAAGTAGCTGGAGTTTCTTTCTAGAACCAGTACAGATCCTGTATTCCGTTATTTTGAAGTTTGCAGGTTAAAGTGACGTAGCAGAAAGAATGGGATTAGGGTTTGCTGGCCAGTTAATACATCTGTTTGAGGATTAGCTGAATCACCATTATAGACTTTTTGGCTGTATCTCCACCAGCTATCATGGGATCTTAGACATCTGGAGGGCCTGTGGACACATATATTTTAGGTGTCTTAATCACAAATTACACCCAATCCAACTGTTCCCTATCAAACAAGATTTTATTGAAAGTTTTAAGTGAAATGGTGCATTGTAAATAAACAAACTAGTGCATATCCAAATGCTGTTTCAGGTGTGTAGTCTTAGCAGCAAACTTCTGGTTTTAACTAAATGTCAGGTCTTTACGTTGGAGCTAAAATTGCAGCAGTAAGACAGAAATTCTGTCCTGCAGTGCATCTGCCTTGAAATGAGCAATAGCACAAGTAACAAACTATGGGAAGCATGGAACAGGACAGAGATTTTCAGATTATATACTGGCTAGAAGATAAGTTTGCTCCCTTAGCTCTTGACAGAAGAGTATCATGGCAGAGCATGTGTACTTCTAATAACCAGAGCTTTCTGGAAGAATCTGAAATACATCATTTGCTTTGGTGCCTTAGAGGTTGAGAGTGGATTTGTACAGGTGAAATTGTGATAACACAACTTTTCAAAGGTACTGCAGCAAGGGAACTGAAAACACAGTTCTGTTCCACTGTTAACTCAGCCTTGTAGCACAGTCATGGAAATACACCTACCCAATTGCTCACTGAATATTGTAATTACTTTTAAAGTTTATTTTCTGTTAGTGATGGCTAAATTAAGATGATGTGTGAGCAAAACTTTGGGAATTATAACAGAATGTTAATATTAAAAAACTAAAGAATGTTTAAATGTGTGGACGTGATTCTGATGACTGGTAACAGGCCCCCCGAGGAGCAGAACACGTTTTTAAGCCTTGGTGTTTGATAATGTATGAGTGCTGCAAGAATATAATTCGGATTTTAAGTTGAGATGTGCTGTGGGTATAAGTGCTTGCAGATGAGTACAGTTCTTTTGTTCTTTTGTTGTTAGTTACATCCCCATTTGTATTAGTTACAAAAAGCTGGGAAGTGGCTGATCCACAATGAGACACGCTGCTTTCTGGATATCTTCCACTGCATTGTACTGAAAAACATGATCATGGGACAGACATGGTATCAGAACAAAGAAATCCGCTTAAAATGAGTAGTAGATTTAGTAAATCGGTTTGTTGTGACTTGTTTGATTAATCAAGAAAATCTTTCCGCAGATGACTTCCTGATTTCTTTGCCGTGCATGCGTGGGTCTCGGTGAAAGTCAGTCTCATTTATCCCGTCGTTTGTTTCAGTTTATTAAATGTTCAGACATTTTGGTTAATTACGATTGTGGAGGGTTGAGACAGACTGGCTGTTGTTACGCTGTTCGACTGCGGTGTCAGTTGAGACCCTGTTAGTGTCAGATTCAGCTCAGGGGGGACACTGGAGATCTGCAGCACCTACAACTGGCCGACAACAAAGACGTGTGGCTTTCTGTGCTGCAGTGGCTCATACCCTGGGGGTTACCAGGGCAGTGAGCTTCGTGCTTGGGCGAACACCATGTTTGCAGTTGGAGCTTCTGTTTGGTAAGCAGGCTGGGATGGTTGCATTCCTTTTATCTTTAAAATGTAGATCTTAAAGCTGATATGGGCCATGTCTTGCTTCTTATTTCGTTGGTCAGCCGAGTTATGTCATAAACTGTAGGATGGGAGAACAGTAGCAAGCGTAGCTCTGCTGTTAAAGCATTTGATGGGCACTCAGAGAAGAAGGGTTCACTTTGTGGCTCTATCACAAAGTTTTTTGGTGCAGCTTACTCACATCACCTGGTTTGATCTCAGTCTGTGACTTGCTTTCCCACTTAACAGGGAGCAAGCCATCTCGTGAGTATCTGTACACCAGGTGGACAGCCTGGCAACGATGACATA